ATGATACAGTCAATGGCTTGCATACGTTTGTGGTGAGGGTCAAGGGAAGGACGTCTGCTGGCGCGAGTTGTCGGGTTTCATGTCTTTCTTATGATGGTCAGCGAATGCAAAGCGGACCCATTGCTTGGTTAGTGCCTGAATATCACATTCAGAGCCAAATAAACTTTACTTAACTTGCAGCATCGAGCACAGCAACATAGAGCAACACTTAATTTCAAACATGTCCAGTTGCTAGGGCAAATCGTCGTTTGTCATCAGGAAATGCTTCTTTCAAGATGTTCTGCAAGGTGGTAGTGCGCCATCCAACGGTGGGTCCCACATCAGGTATTTGTGGGCGGGCATTTTGCACGCATTCCTTGTATGTGCTCATCCCGGCCAAGTGATGATTGCCACATTCTGTAGAGGCTGACAAATCCAGGATGTGCGTGTGCTTTTTTGCGTCTGAGCTGGCGAGAAAGCTTGGCAGCGAAGACTAGCTTCATGGGAAACTTCCCTCCATGTCTGAAGCTGGGAGAGCGGCACCTTTGGACAAGCCTCTGGTTCTTGTAGGGGGCATTCTTGTTGTTTAATTGCGGAGTGAAGGCTAGTCAGGGACAATCGCAACCATCAGCAGGTCCGGCTAAACCCGTGTTTATTTCGGCTCAAGCCATTTTAAGCCCAAAGGCCAAGGAAGGCAAGATATGGTAAACCGAGTCAAGATGAATCGTCCGAGGCCTTGTTGGAAGAGTCCGATTGCTTAGGCGGGCACTGGGCTCGTGGGCGTCTTCATCGCCCATCTCATTCGAGATGTCCAGATCTTGGGGCACCTGATCTGCATGGAAGTGGCTGACCCTGTGCTTCGATCCGTGAAAAGATATGACACCACAAGAGTAGAGCATTGGTTTGGTTTCCTGGTTCTCCTTTGCCAGGGACCAGAGTTTCTGCCCTTGTGCCAGTGTTGGAGCAACTGTTGCCAGTCTTTCGTGTCAGAAACCCTCACTATTGCAGGTCGGTTTGCAACATTGCCCACAGTCTTTTGATCAAAGTCTGTCGGGAGCTGGCAGGAGCCACGCAGGCATTGAAGGGAGCAAAGATGATGGGTACAGCTGAACGGTGCCGACCGACAGCTGAACAGCGACCACCAGCCGTCAAGCATGAGGAATCTTGATGTCGAATTATGAACTTGAGCCCGGCGCGGGTCTCACAGCCGTAATCATCTCTTCTTCCTGGGAGGCGAAAAGGCAACACCTCTTAGACTTCTTTCTTGCTGATGAGTGACAAAAAAGCAACCATGGGGAAGCCATGAAACAATAAACATACCCAGAGGACCATAAGTACAGATTTTCACCGGTGGCATCCGCGTCCTCTTGCTCCGCCATGAACTCATGATTGTGGTATATCCCAGAGCAAACCTTGAGGCTGAGAAAGGCCATTTGATTCCATTGATGAATTTCGATCTTTACAAGGAGATTAAATGTGCCACTACTTCACTATTTTGCAGTTTATCACTCAGTGCTGCTTACAATCAACACGTGGCTTGTCTCCTTTTGGCACTTCCTTAGAGTGAAGTTGAATCAACATCCAATCTCCCACCTCTTTTGGGAATTTCAATCTGAAGACGAGTCTTCAGATTTTCTTGGCCCAAAACCACTTCGCGAATCCTCAGGTTCGGGCACGACCACGGGGGCTTCTTGGAGATCGCCCTTGAGGCGGACCCCTACCGGCGGATGATCTGCGTGCTTAGTGGCGGACTGCCCCTCGGCCCCATGGGTCGGGGGGGATGGACCCGGGCGGGTGGAGGGGCAGTTGACGGGGCAGGATGGCCGAAGCACCGTGTGAAACTCCCATTGGTGGGGCAGTGGAGGGGCAGGTGATGGGTTGTTGGCCGAAACAATAGGGAGTGCAAGAGGGGCAGTTGATGGGGCAGGATCGGGAGAAAGGGTCGGGCGAAAACGGGGAGAAGTCGAGTGGCAGGCGGGCTGACGGCCAATTTGGGTCGATGGGCTAATTGGGTGAAGCGTGGCGGATGCATTGCTGGTGTCAAGGTCTGCAAAAGGAAGACTTTGGAGAGCCCAAGTTTGTGTAGGTATGGAGGGTTTTTGGAGGAAACAGGCCGTTAGAAAACCTGGCACTTTTTGTGCTTTTCTTGCTGTTTGCTGCTAGGCTGTGATGAGTCGAGTTGCAGTTGTGAGCAGGGCTGGGGAGGAGGGGGGAGGGGGGTGGGGCATGTTACCGTCGTTATGAAAGGCTTGCACGCTCACGAACACACATGAGTGCACACAGGTTGATGCATGGCCAATGTTGGATGCAAATGCTTACAAAAAGCATTTGGAGAGCCACCACGTTCATCCCAGCAAACATGAATTTGCTAGAAGACGAGGGGAGCACGCAAACGACCCGCTTGCTTCATAGTGGGGACTCGGTGTAAGTATAGACAAATGGCATCATTGCAAGACGATCTGCACTCTCACGTGTTTCGCTACACGCATCGCTTCTTTTTTAAGTATCAGCTTCGAGAAGGATTTCTGCCGTGCGTTGGCTGCAGCTTGCTGATTCATATTTTTGTGCAGTTGAGCTGCAGCTATGCCAAAAAACACATGGGGTTTTTGACAACTTTTGCATAAACACAACGCTGTCCTAATTCACCCGTTCACTGCCAAGCATGAGCCAGAGATGACAAATTGCAGAAAAGCCGGGGAAAACACGCGTGACACAGCTTTCGCCTCCAGGTTTTTTCCCAGCCTGTATTTTTTTGGAGAGGGACGGTCTTTTGCATTTTTGGAGGTATGTTTTAAGTATACGAGGAAGTGGCTGCTTGCCTTGTTCCAATGCGTTGGTCCAGGCATTTGCATTGACCACCCCACAAAAAGGCGCTCATCGAGTGTCTCCAGGAATCGATTGTTTCAATCTATTCCTGGCGAAGGCCACTTCCCAAAGGCTCACGACTGCCCCTTTTGGCCTTCAACCATGAGCTTGTTTGAAGGACCATGAGCCGGCATCAGGTTCACGGTACGAGGCAAAACAAAAGGTGGTGTCGAACACAAGGATACCGATTGAACTGGAATTCACTGGGTGGCTCTTGGTGAGATCTGGTCGAGAGCTTATGGAGCTTGGCAGCCTGGCAACCGATCCGTTTATAGACGGTTCTACTCCCTGGTTTGACCACGGGCCTTGAGCCGGAGCAAGGGCTTTTTGAAATCTCTACGACCATTTTAGTACCAACAGTGAATTTGGTTTGGGCTCAGATGTCAAGAGCCACGCGTTCGCTTTTTGATGTGTTGCTGCTTTCCAGGCGATTGCTTCCCACATCAACTCTTTTACAGCTACCCTTCCCCCTTCTTTCCAGGGATCCTTCTTTTCAGGAAGCCATCAAAAACCCAGGGGAAACAGCCGGTTAAAAAAAAACATTGCTGAAAAGAATGGAAAATCAACCCCTAGAACTCTGAGTCTTGTTCTTTCATTTCAACCGGCTCTATGGACCGGATCGCCTTGAGGATTGGTGCCATCGCCTGGTACTGGCTGCGGGGCCGGCCAACATACCTCGTCTCAGTGGACGAGAGTCTGAAAGGCGTCTGTCCGCGTGACCCGCGGTGGGCTGATTCGGGGCGAGAGAAAGTTATGATGGAATGTAGGTCCTTTAGGATCCAATTCTTGGTTTGGATTTGTTCACAGCCAAAATTAATCTTTCTCAAACTTGAAAGCAACACCTGCGTTTGTTTCAACAAACATGGACATGTATAGACTATAGACCGAATTCGTTGAGCATGGATTCTGAACCAGCACAATGCTAACATTGTGATGACGAAGCTGTTGAACGTTCTGCCTTTCTGGGTTGCTCGCCTTCATTCTCCCTTCGGACCAGCAAAACAGCATGTTGCTGGGGACCTCGGTCTGTCGACAAATTCAATAAGCCAAACTGTGCCCTTGAATTTCGGTGGCTTCAAACCGTCATCTTCCGCTTTGACCGATTGTTCTTTTTGACCAGTGTATACGGGGATTAGGGGCCTTGAGGTGGTCAGGGTGGCTTGAGGTGGAAGGATTCCCGCTGACAAAGTTCATGCGAGGCTTGCGCAATATAAAAACGAGCAGTCATCCCAGAAAGGCGACTGCCACATTGCGACCTTCCAGCCGATGCTGGAAAAGTTGCGACTTTCTGGCTCCAACCTCGAAGTGCACCGATTAACCTGCAAGAGACTCGCAAAAGTAAGCTTAAATGTGTTTTTGTCTTCTTCTTTGTTTCCCGCGAAGAATGGCCGTGTCGAGAAATTGAGCTTAGAAGCAATGTGGAAACACACTTTTATATCCTCCCGTTTGGACATGCTCTCCTCACGCAACATGCAACATTACGGCCAGGCGCGGTTACTGATCCAATTACGCATTGCATTCGCATGGCCTTAGGTTTGCTCTTCAGCCCGTGGAAGTCCTATGTCCACATTTTTTTCTGTTGGGTGGCCCAAGAGGGAGGGGTCTTCATGTCATGACTGAAATAGCCTACCCTCCCTCCAAAGATAAATTACATGGTGCAAAAGCAATTTTGGAAGAAGACCACCGTCCTCTTTGGATCTGTGCATAGCGCCATTGGCCACATGCCCTTGGCTCTCAGGCGCGAAAATGCCGCCCGTGGCCACCGTGCTGAATGCCATGGTGCAGGCCGAATGCCGCCGACCTTTTTGGGGTCATTTCCTCTGAAACTGGGCACAGTATGTTGATTGTTTTGAGGGGATATCAAAGTTAGAAACTGAGGTTGTTTCCCTTTACCCTACCACTTAGGGGGTGCCTTTGATAATTGTAGACTAATAAAGCTAGTGAATGTCAGCAACTGGGGCCGAGGACTAGGTAAGCTTTGCACTGACTCGTAGTGAGCGAACCAAGCGAAAAGGGTCAAGACCCTTCCACGGCTTACTGGATGGTTTACAGGGAAACTCAAAGAAGCCAACCATACATGGCGGGATCCCTGCTTGGACAGCCATCAAAGCAGGTAGAATTTGGTTAGGGACCTGTCCTCTAAGGATTTGTCTAACAGCCCACCCCAAACCTTGAGTTTGTTTTAGTACATGCTTACTGTTTGGATACTGCAACAATGCTTCCTGTCCATTGGTCAGTACTGAATCAACGCTTTTCTGGGTGGATCCTTTGTTCAATGGCTAGTAACCCAGGGCGATTTTTATTTGAGATGAGCTGGCGAAGCAAACCGTGACTCCCCGACATTCCGCGACCATTTAAGTTTGGGTGCGTTTTGCCAGCCGCATTTGGATTCGCGGAGAGCTTGTCGCCTTGAACTCGTGCGTCCTTACCTGGGGTTCGGGGTATTCTCCGTTGGGTTCTGCGTTGGGTTGGACTCACAAGGAAAGCTACGATCCGCCTTTCTGTAGGTCCTGTTGCTAGCGGATCGGTGCCGTTCTGTTAGCCAGGGAACTGCTGACATCTCGGGCTTCAGTTGAGGAACTTGAGTCAGAAAGGTCCGGCTAGGCAGCTGCGAACGGTCCTCACAGAGGGGAATGGTTCAAGCCCCTACGAAGCATATTGTCTTCCATGGGTCCATGGGTGTGTTCAATGATTTACACACTCTCCCAAGCTCACATGGCGTCGTGCTAAAACCCAGGTATCCGGCTTAGTATTGCGAATGTCCAGGCTTACATGGCATGAGCTTCCCACTGTGTGCGCGGAAGAGACGCGGAAGGGCGGCGGAAGAGATGCGAAAGGGCAAGTAACCGTTAAAGTGTCATTCGAGGGTCGCCGCCTGCTCGTCTTCAACTGTGCTCAGTTATGCACACTCCACGAGGTAGCCAGAAACCACTTGTGTCTCAGTGGCGCTTCTGTATCCATAGTGGCCTTAATCTTGCTTAAGTGACCTGTTGAAATTCAGCTAAGTGACCTTATTTTCAAAATGCATCATGGCACCCAAAACATGAATCGAGGTCACTGAAAATCCGCTGTATACCCCTTTTACAATCTTTTCCACACCCTTGGGTAGATGACACCGAAAGGCTTGCCGATGCTCATAGCCCTCTCCACAAGAGGTATATACCCCGTATACAGTGGGTTAACCATGGAAGCCAAAGGGCAGGAAAGGGGTAGGTTTATCTTTGATTTCCGGCCATGAAAGTTGACTTTCGGGTTCCCGGCCTCCCTGTTCAACTATTTGGATGATGAGTTTGTCTTTGCTTTTTCACTGGCTTGGATATAGACTACATGTCATTCAGCGGCCATGTGGAAACATATGTTGGGGTGTGCCATTTGATTTAGAAGCTTTCAAATCAGCCACAGCTTGCGGAATCAAAAGCCCCAGTCCGGAGGGACTTTGATTTTCCCTTGGTTTTAAAAGCAGAGCATGTTTTCCAGGGGGCTCGATCAAATGGAAGGCTCCGGCGGATTCCTTTTCGGGAGTCGTGCCAGGACATCGTGGTGGCCTTGGGTGGCTCCTTCGGCCGCGAGGCGGCGCCCCGGGAGATCGCCGCCATGTGGGGCGGCGCAGTGGGGGATGCCGCTCGCCAGACAGCGGGGGGTGCGGGGGGTGCGGGGGGTGCGGGGCGGGGGCGGGGGCGGGGGGGTGGGGGTGGGGGTGGGGGTGGGGGTGGGGGTTGGGGTTGAGGGTGGGGCTTGGTGACACCCCCGAAAACACCACCCGAGTGGGACCACGGACGGCGTTCCTTTCTGCAAAAGCAAGGTTGAATGAGCCAGGACAAGCAATTGGAATTACTGTGGGCGGACAAGATCCACTTTGCACTATGAATGAAACCCTCTGAATACAAGGATAATCCACCTTCCAACTGGTGCAAGAACGGAGTTTGTCCATCTTACACCCGGGTTCTAGCACCTGCTAAGGTAAGGTTGTGGCTGAATTACCTGACTCAGGTAGGCAGATTAGAAGGTACATTTTAGGGCGTTGGCCGCGTTGTTTGTCTGCGCCGGCAAATATGAAGCCCTTTTCTGGGAGTGGCCAAGGCTGAAAGCCAGACCTTGCTATTGATCGCAACCATGCGCCTTGATTGAGACCATTCAATGCTTGAGGGTGTTCCAACACTTGGAAACATCAAACATAGGCATTTTGATAAGTGGTTTGGGGTTAATGGCTTAGACGAAACTGTTGAGCAGAATGGAGGCTTGTGTCCGGCATCAATTGATTTGGGTGGTTGAAGGATGTGCTGAACATCCGTGTTGGCCAGTTGAGCTCCTTTGAAACCCCTATTGGCAGTTTTAGTCGGCAGTTCTACTACCTGGTTTAATTGGGGTTATATATCCACAACCACGTTAGCAGAACCAATCATCACTGGGTTTTGAGCGCTGCTCAATTGAGGAATGGGTCTACTCAGTGAGCCTGTGAAATCATCCGCATTTGATTTGAGGTTCTCCGGCTCTGGGTTGATATCATCACGGCTTTCGAAGAGCAGCATTGAGGGTGTCCAACTTGGGTCAAGGGGCTAAGCTGTGAGTTGCCCAGTCAGCTCTGCATGCTCATGAGGCTCTCTTTGTTCGCTGCACCGAGGTCTTCAGGGTTTCATCCCAGCAGCGCAAGGCGTGAGAGTGATGTGCTGTGAGCCAGGTGCTGGATAGCCCGGAGGCAATAAAGGGAGAAGAGTGTGTGTATATATATATATATGTATTTATTGTATTTTTTGTCCAACACGTTCTATTCAGGGATCCGTTGTGTTTTTTTTTATCCTGGCGCTGTTTTGTTTACTAGCCGAAACTCACTTAACCACACCCTAAAGCAACCCTAAAGCCGCTGCTAAACCAGCAGCACACCTAACACAAATCAGCTCCAAACCAACCCACACCCACTCAAAGTCAACCCTAAACCCGCCCAACAGCAGCCCGGATGTCAGCCCTTCGCTTCGCCTAAATCAACCCCAAACCACCGCAAGCCCCTAACTTAAACCAGCCCCCCAGCAAGTCCCAACTACCACCCAATCAGAGCCAATAGGCAACCCCAGGGCCAAGTGATGCTGGCGACGCTGGGGATGTTGCCAACCCTGCGGAAAACCAGCTGAAGGAAAAAGCCAGTCCTAGTAAAAAAGACAACACCGTTACCTTGTGGGTACCTCACAGGTGCCCCTTTTTGCAACGTGGGAGGAAGGGTACCCTCAAAAAAAACGGGTATATATCATTTCCCCCCTCTTGGTCAGGTCCTGGTCGCCTGCGGCGCTGGTGCCGGATTAGCGGCCGCCCCTTGGTTGGTTTCATGTGGCCATGGGTCATAACCTATGCCTCCATTTTGGGGCGATTTTGGGGCGGATGAACACCCGTGTACCACCTATGTTGATGTTCACCAGGGGTACAGGCTTACCAACAGCCATGTCACTAAAGCCAAGCTTTTGACCTTGTTCCAGATTTCGGCAGATTTTCGTGGCTCCAAAAGGTTAGACGGGGTTATTTCTGGGTCCTTTGGGCAAGCGCAAAATACCTTGGCAGAAGATGTACCATGAAATCAATGGGGAAAAGTCAAGGGAAAAGAGGGCGGGTCGGCATGGGGGCTGAGTTTTTCAGATTCCTGGGGGCTGAGTTTTTCAGATTCCTGGGGGCTGAGTTTTTCAGATTGTTGGGGGCTGAGTTTTTCCGTTAAAAACACTTAAAAGTACCAACAATATACGATCAAGACCCGTGACCTCTTAGATTTATTGGGGTGCGTTCTTGTTTTTTTGGCTGATGACATGCAAGCACAGATTCATTTTCGATCCAATGAAGACTCAGATGCATCCAGACCTGGAAAATGAGCTAGCTTCAATCTGCACAGAAGACAGCCTGTTGAGAACTATGTTGCACAAATATCATTGTTGGACACAAATATTTAGCAAACGTGTGTCTGTAGCTTATTTTTGGATAATTGGCATGCTTACGCATGCCAAGTTTATAAACCTCAGGGTGCTAACTTTTGGAAGACGTATGTTTGGCACAAATCTTCAACACACGTTGCATACGTATGCAATATTTTGGAAGACGTATGCTTAGCAATCTGCAAGCAGATGTATGTTTGGGACAAATATTATTGTTGTGTTGCAATTCTGAAACACGTAAGTATGGCAAGCACAGCTTGCCACGCATATGAAATCATAAGAAAGGTAAGATATCACTGATCTATGCAGCTTTCAGCTGCAAGACTCATCTCTTTTTACAGTTGGATGTTCAATATTTTTAATATACGCATGGGCTCTGCCCATGCTCTTGAGAAAAGACAGCTAACACAAACATATTTATCGCATAATGAGCTGGAGCAATTGGAGCACAGCTCCAATCTAGTTGCTTGAGCTCAAGAAGCACAAGATGCAAAGATGAGCACCTGCAACGATATCTGCAGATGCAAATAACATTCTCTGCATAAAGCTGTTCAGCTTTGGAATAAGAGCTTTGGAATAAGATTCTCTGCAGCTATTCGTGTTGCTGAAGAGCTCTTGCAACAGTAAAGCTGTTCAGAACAGATTCAAGTAGACACAAGCCATAAGCAATTGCTTGTGATGAGATGTTACCTGCAGAAGATGAAATGAGAGATGAGATAAATTATCTCCAGTTACCTGGAGTTACCTGCAGAATATCTTGGAAGAGGCTTATGTTCTGTTGATACACATCTCATCATATTGATGTCTTGCATCAAGAAAGCTTGCATCAAGAAAGCATCAACAAAGTATTGTCTTCAGATGATGGGCTGTGTTTTTTGGTTTTCTTGGTGTTTATGAGCAAAAGCACCAAAAACCAAAAAAAACAGACCCATGACCCTGAACTAGCAGATGCAGATGATGGGCTGTGTTTTTTGTTTTGTTGGTTTTCTTGGTGTTTATGAGCAAAGGCATCAAAAACCAAAAAGAAACAAAAAAACAAAAACCCAAACAAAACAAAAAACAGACCCATGGCCCTGAACTAGAAGATGCAGATGATGGGCTGTGTTTTTTTTGGTTTTTGGTTTTTTGCTGAAAAAACTCAGCCCCCAGGAATCTGAAAAACTCAGCCCCCAGGAATGTGAAAAAACTCAGCCCCCATGACGGCCCCTTCTGAGGGAAAAACGGGCGAAAGTACGTATTCTCACACTCCCAAATCAAGCCTGAGGGTTTTGCTTGGCCAATTTTGGGCCCTGTCACTGAGAGCATTTGGGCCACTGAAAACTGGTGTCTCAGCCGTCTCCACCCGAGCTTGAAACAGCAAGCCGTCATGTTCGAATCTGACTCGAACCATCCAACATCCCCTGTGAAGAGTTGATGAAATGGGGGCGTTCACTCATGAGGCTTAAATGATGCCATTGTCCTCGTAGGCCCGGTATATTTGTGTGACTGCTTTGCACGACAAGGCAAGGGGTTTAATTTCCGGCAGGCCATACTCTTAATCGCGTTTTGCCATACGTATTTCGCCAATATCACCATATTATACAATGTGCCGCGACGCAATGTTTTGTCCTGGTCTGTCTACCAGGTTTAGCCATAGTTGACAGTGTTTTACATATGGTTGAACGCATTTGCCATATCTTGGCCGTTTAACCCTTGCTACAGCCTCCCAGCTGTGGGCCTCCCAGCTCAGGTTTATTCCGTGCCGATCAGTGGCCACCCGGCACCAAAACAGAAGGCAGTGGGCAAATATACTCGCAAAGGGGGAGGGTGCTGGGATTTGGACTGAAGTGTTTTACAATTTTCAGGTTCATTCACTGAACGTGGACCCGAATCAATCACATCATGTTTGGTTGGGGGCAAAACCGGTTGGCTGAACTTGTATAGAGGATGATGGAGGATGTGTAGGGATTGCGATATGACGGTGGGTAGACTAGTTCCGCCTTGGTTTCGGACATGGAGCACAGGTACGGAGGAGAGCTCGATGGATTCATCATAATGTCAAAAGACTTGCTGATCTGCCAGGAGTCCTAATTATCCTTTTTGGTGGGTTGGAACATCGCCTTTTGGGCTGTTTAGGTGAGTTTCCTTCAAATTGGATGATGTACGGGGAAATAGGGAACTCTGTTGGCCAGAGATCGGGATCGAGGGCTGCAGGTGGCCTACGGATCTAGGAGCTTGACTTTGGTTTTGAAGCCCATAGCCTCGAATCGCTCTACCGTGCCTGTCTCTCGCCCACACTTCCGATTGTTTTTGTGAGAGACCTGAAAAGCATGGTAGAGCCTCTCCCCAACCGTAGTGGGTCACGTGCTTGGGGAACCCCCCTTTATGACTCCCCTGTTTAGCGACCTCCAGCTAAGCTGGGCAACTAGAAATTAGATGGGCATCGATGTTGAGAGAAGCATGCTAATTGTAGTCTGAAATGGTGTGACACAAGGGGGAGATTCGCCGTTGTAGCCAGTGGTTGGTTGCATTCCCAAGAGGCATTGTTTGCCAAAGTGCAAATAGCGTGTCAGACGCCAAGAGATGGGGATGCAGGAAGGCGCTGTCAGCAGAAACTTGTTTCTTTCCGAGCTTGGTCAGGACCACACCAGCAACATCAATCACGTGCAGAAGTAGGTTTGGTTACCCCCCGTGCCCTCATGAAAATGCATCGGTAACTTTGGTGGCGAGAATATATGCTTTCTTGAGCATTCCAGCCTTCATGTGGCTCCCAATGCGTACATACCGGGAGTTGACCTTTCCTGTTGCCAACCTACATGGACTCTTCAAATCGTTGTGATGTTATACTTCTAGGGTTGTGTGATGCGAGCCTGTATTTTTATGTGGATGGACACTGGCCAACAATGAATGTTATGTCAGCCTGCGCCTGCAAATCTTTTGTTTGCTGCCGACAAAGCAATTTTGTGATGACGACAGGTATGTTGGTATGTTTTATGGGGTTTGTCTTCAATGGCTCGCATTTTATGCACATGAGATGAGGAAAGGGCGCGCCACGAAACGTATTTTACGCTTCATGATTTGAATGAGGTGCTTTCTACACCATTGAGCACGTACTGAATTGGGATGTATCTCCGCGGGCTGTACTGCCTGCGATCCTCACTTCAGTCATCGCCACCATCGCGGCTTTGGCACTATAGAGTTTTTTTGTCGCACCATGCTTGTTCTAAGGCTGTAATCTAACATAGGTGGGTATGGCCGAGATATGAAGAGGCCACACTTTTGGCGATGCTTATACAACAGTTCGAAGGGCAGGATAATTCTGTCTCCCATTTGGGGCTTGCGACTTCTGCAAATGATTCCCCCGTTCTGGCTTCAACACTGCGCTCCGATTCTGAGTTGAGTGGTGGGGTTGACAAAGGTGCTGAGCCCGCATTTGCGTGTTTTGCTGGGACCCGTACTCAGCAACACTTTGAACGTGCTGCCAGAACTAGCCCACATGACCGGGAGTCCATGTTCAGAGTTTGACAAGGATTGAGGATGTTCACGAGCCCCTGGAACAATAGCATGATGAGCAATCATAGTACAAGATGACTACGTTTAGGCTGCTCAATGTTGACCGTGGCTTGCAGCTGTGAGTTGCGCTGTCACACATTTGCCAAACCTGTCTCAGGGAGTGAGTTTTCACTGGCTTTGTGCTCCAACCACAACGTCTCCTTGGGGTTGTTGTCAGCAGCGAAACATTGCATTTTGCCAAAAGAGGAGCC